CGAAAGTCGTGGCACTTGGCTGGATAAAAAATGTAACCAAATGAAGAAGACGTAGAAGCTTCTTTTGGAAAATTAAAAATAAACAATGGGAGCCATACTCGGTGATGACACCGTACAACCTATGAATATGATGGAACACCAGCTACCCGCACGAGGCGGGGCGGAAGTTGCCTTAGGGATATATAAGACCTTTCTCATCTATAGAACTTGCATGCGCCGTGCGCCAGCCAAGCCCGTGCGTGCATGCATTCTGCGAAAGTGGTGTCCTGTTTCACATGTCACATTTGAAGCTCCACTTCGCACTTCACACTTCTCACTGCAGTCTTCACACTCCACACTTCACGCTTCACACTTCGCACCTCACACTTCACACTGCACTCTTCGCACTCCACACTTCACTTCACACAGCGCTCTTAAGACTCCACACTTCACACTTCACAGTCCACACTTCACACTTCTCACTTCTCACTGCTTTCTTCACACTCCACACTTCTTGGCTATTTTCATGTCATCTGAGCACAGCTCAACCTTTCTCATCTCACCGAAGCTAGTCTCAACTCATCTCCGCTCTTCTGCACGTCACAAAGCTTGAGACACAGATGCATTGACACAGAAGAGTCTTTACAAAATACTTTGTACCACAAAGCTTGCACAAAGCACGTCCCAGTACTACTTTGTACTACAAGGCTTGCACAAACTACTTCCCAGTATTAATGTCTACGACAAAAGCTTGCACAAACTACTTCCCAGTACTACTTTGTACTACAAAGCTTGCAAAAAGTACTTCCCAGTACTACTTTGTACTACAAAGCTTGCGCAAAACAGGTTCCAGTACTACAGTGTACTACAAAGCTTGCACAAACTACTTCCCAGTACTACTTTGTACTCTACAAAGCTTGCACAAAGTATTTCCCAGTACTACTTTGTTCTACAAAGCTTGCACAAACTACTTCCCAGTACTACTTTGTACTACAAAGCTTGCACAAACTACTTCCCAGTACTACTTTGTACTCTACAAAGCTTGCACAAAGTATTTCCCAGTACTACTTTGTACTACGAAGCTTGCACAAAGCACTTCCCAGTACGACTTTGTCCTACGAACCTTGCACAAAGTACGTCCCAGTACTTCTTTGTGATACAAAGCTTGCACAAAGAAAGCTTTACACACAGCAAGTTCTTTCGCAGAGAAGCTTTTACACACAGCAAGCTTTTACACACAAAATCTTTTGCGCACAGCAAGCTTTCACACACAGCAAGCCTTTACACACAGAACACTTACACGCAGTGTTTTTACACATGGCAAGCGTTTACACACACAGCAAGCTTTTTAAACAGAGAAGCTTTTACACACAGAGAAGCTTTTACACACAACAAGCTTTTAGACAGAGAAGCGTTTACACACAGCAAGTTTTCACACACAGCAAGCGTTTACACACAGAACACTTACACACAGTGCTTTTACACACGGTAAGCGTTTACACACACAGAAACTTTTACACAGAGACGCTTTTACACACAGAGAAGCTTTTACACACAGCAAGCTTTTACACCCAATTTTTTTTACACACAGCAAGCTGTTACAGAAAAACAATTACACAGAGAAACTTTCTTGTGCATAATCACAGCAGGAATTGCAGCTCCAAAACCGGATCTCGACGCCAAAGCGAAAAAAAGACGATTTTGAAGCACTTTTTAAAAGGATTTTAAAAGGAAGATTACAAGCGCCAAAATTGAAAAAATCGTCAAAAATCTGCTGACAAATCACTTTCGCAGCCTTGATGCAGCCACTCCAATACGATTTACGAGATCCCGCTGCACAAGAGACTAGTATTACGCATGCAGCCGCGGTGCCACGCACCTTGACGCAGCCATTACAATGCGTTTTGCAGCATCACATCGCAAACCTGCACATATCTACGCACGTGGCAACATCAGAGGACGACCATTCCAATGCGATCTGCAACCACAGATTCAAGAAACGCATAGAACTACGCACACAGGAACAACCACTCGTTGCAAAACACACAGAAGGAACCAGTCGCGTCCGGAACGACCGCAGCTGCACCCGCCCGCACACACGGGGTACCTTTCATCGCCGCCTGCAGCCACTTTACACGGAAAAATACAAGGTTTCGTGCTCCGGCCTCCTCCCCAAAACATGGCCCATGCAACATTCATGCAGCCATTCCAATGCGATCTGCAACCACAGCTTCAAGAAACGCAAAGAACTACGCACACAGGAACAACCACTCGTTGCAAAACACATAGAAGGAACCAATCGCGTCCGGAACGACCGCAGCCGCACCCGCCGCACACACGAGGTACCTTTCATCGCCGCCTGCAGCCACTTTATACGGAAAAATACAAGGTTTCGTGCTCCGGCCTCCTCCCCAAAACATGGCCCATGCAACATTCATGCAGCCATTCCAATGCGATCTGCAACCACAGCTTCAAGAAACGCAAAGAACTACGCACACAGGAACAACCACTCGTTGCAAAACACATAGAAGGAACCAATCGCGTCCGGAACGACCGCAGCCGCACCCGCCGCACACACGAGGTACCTTTCATCGCCGCCTGCAGCCACTTTACACGGAAAAATACCAGGTTTCGTGCTCCGGCCTCCTCCCCAAAACATGGCCCATGCAACATTCATGCAACCATTCCAATGCGATCTGCAACCACAGCTCAAGAAACGCATAGAACTACGCACACAGGAACAACCACCCGTTGCAAAACACAAATATAGACGGAACCAATCGCGTCCGGAACGACCGCAGCCGCACCCGCCGCACACACGAGGTACCTTTTCATCGCCGCCTGCAGCCACTTTACACGGAAAAATACAAGGTTTCGTGCTGAGGCTTCCTCCCCAAAACATGGCCCATGCAACATTCATGCAACCATTCCAATGCGATCTGCAACAACAGCTCAAGAAACGCATAGAACTACGCACACAGGAACAACCACTCATTGCAAAACACATAGAAGGAACCAATCGCGTCCGGAACGACCGCAGCCGCACCCGCCGCACACACGAGGTACCTTTCATCGCCGCCTGCAGCCACTTTATACGGAAAAATACAAGGTTTCGTGCTCCGGCCTCCTCCCCAAAACATGGCCCATGCAACATTCATGCAGCCATTCCAATGCGATCTGCACCCACAGCTTCAAGAAATCAAGAAACGCATAGAACTACGCACACGGGAACAACCACGCGTTGCAAAACACATAGAAGGAACCAATCGCGTCCGGAACGACCGCAGCCTCACCCGCCGCACACACGAGGTACCTTTCATCGCCGCCTGCAGCCACTTTACACGGAAAAACACAAGGTTTCGTGCTCCGGCTTCCTCCCCAAAACAAAGCCCATGCAACATTCATGCACCATTACAATGCATTTGGCAGCATTCCCTTCATCACCACTTCCCTTCGTCAACACTTCCCGTCCTCACCACTTCCCTTCGTCACCACTTCCCTTCGTCACCACTTCCCTTAGTCACCACTTCCCTTCGTCACCACTTCCCATCGTCACCACCTCCCTTCCCTCACCACTTCCCTTCGTCACCACTTCCCATCGTCACCACTTCCCTTCCTCAACACTTCCCTTCGTCACCACTTCCCATCGTCACCACTTCCCTTCCTCAACACTTCCCTTCGTCACCACTTCCCAAAGTCACCACACTCCCTTAGTCACCACTTCCCTTCCTCACCACACAGCTTCGTCACCACTTCCCATCGTCACCACTTCCGTTCCTCACCACTTCCCTTCGTCACCATTTCCCTAGGTCACCACTGCCCTTCATCACCACCCTGTGTCATAGCCTCTTATTCTTTTGTGATGTATTGTTTTGTGATGTACCACCCTTCATCAAGGTCAAGTCTCACAATTCTATTTGTCCGTAACACGGAAGTATTGCTTCCCAACTTCCTTTGATCAACTAAATGGTTGGTGTGACACCAGTAAAATGACGGTGATTGATCTTAGTATTGATTGTGGTAAAATGCTCAAAATGCAAGCTTCAAGAGTTGAACATGGTGACATGGAACCCCGAACCCCAAACTTGTTGCTGGTATTCCTGGAATATCGACTGGCTCCGGGGTCAAGATCTTTTTTGAAGGTTCCCTGCGTAAGTGGAATGTCAAGACACATCAAGGGATTCCATGCTGGCCCGAACAGCTCTGAGGCTGAAACAAATTCCACTGCAAGTTGTTGAAGCATGGCACCAAAGTCATTTGAAACGCTCATGACATCAAGATTACTTGCCCAAGAAAGGACATCTTGGACAGGAAAAACCCGGGAAGCTCAAAACTCTGCTGGTTAAGCTGCACAGGGTCGCAGGATTGTCAGTCTCTATGAGACACCTGCGGTCCCAATGCCCGGGATCGGGTCACGGATTCGTTGGATCTTGATGGAACTTGGCAGGAAGTCTGGCAGGTTCTGTCTGACACATTTCGATCATCTTCGCATCCTAAGGTCCAATCTAAGATCCAATCTGCGAGCTGGCTAGGAGAGAAAGATACATCTGAAGCATCCACCACAAATGAATGAGTTCAAAATAGTTTCAGACAGTTTTTCACATAGTTTTCAAGATATTCGGCGATTCGGGTTATCCCTGGCGCAAAATTCTTCAAGCTCCCAGGGTCCATGTTGCAAATCTCGGGGTGTCAAGTGTCGGGTGCCTAAGTTGGACCTGTTCTCTTGGTGTCACGTAAGGTGGTCGAAACTATCCAAATCACGCCGTTGATGTGAGAAAACCGCGTCAAATCCAATTTTTGTGTGGATGATGTAAAATCATGCAAAAATCCCTGTCAAATTGTCCACATTACTCTGGCGTTTTCTTGTTTGCATCGTTCTTTCAGGGGCAAAAATGATGATCATTCCATGTCATCACCTGATAGGGGCGGAGGGATAATCGCCCTGTGGTTGGAATATTCCGAATAACTGGCTCAAAAGTATCCTGCGAGGATTCCTTCTCTCTTGATCTATGCATACACACGCTAGTTGTAGACAATGCTTCGAATGCTTCAAACCTATCGTGGATTTTGAGGTTACCTTCCACAACTTCCACCTGTGCTTGTCAGCTTACCATCACAGCAGCCGGATCATGCACAGTCTTGGGAAGTCAGGTCTTAAATGCTCAGAATCCACGGCATCGGTTCATGGCAGACTCAAAAGATTTTTCCGACTTTTCCACGGACAGAATCTACGGCTCCCCTCAGAGGTCTCGGTCCAAGTTCATTCAACCATTGAGCTTCGCAATTGGGTACCTGAAGGCTCTGATCTCGGCTCCACTCCCGATGGTTGAACCACAATTGGCTTATCTGTCAGCTATCTGTTTGGGATCTGACCCCAACTGCTTTGTAAAGTTGACAAATTCGATACCTGTCTTGTGAACCAGTTTCAAACCATATGTCTGGATATAGCATGTGGATATGTTTTGTTTCATCTTCATTCGTCTATGTGAAAAGTCCCCAGATTCACACACACACAGACACATACACCATGTTGATTCACATCGTCATGAGGATGTCAAACCCGAAGCTGACCCCAATGGATAACCTTTGATTAGTTGAATCCTCCTGCGATCTTCCGAGGAGACCGTTTCAGTGCACAAACTCTCATACCTTTACGTTGGTGATGTCCCAATCAATCACTACTATTTATATGATTTTTTGTGACATATATCAATTTTATATGACCCCCAAAAATGTGTTGTGTCGATTTAGCCATTTGGATGCCGGTCCTGATCCCATAATTGGTTGGTGATGTCCGTCGACACCTTGGACACCCCCAAGCGCGCTATGACTTTATTTGAAGTAAACATGGACGTAAAAATGCATGCATTTTTTTAATGTTTTGAGTCTTTGAACATCCCGATTTCTGTTTGTTTCTATCCTTTCTGGATTGTTTAACCGATATTTCTTGATTAGGTCCACATCTTGGTGATTCTTGCTGCGTCTACTTCCAACGGTTGTTACCGAAATTCCCACCTTTTTCGGTTTCAATTCAAGGTTTGTTTCTTGAACCCCCATGCTTGCTGCTCAAAACTGCCAATTTTCCCACATCTGCTTCCAAAATTTTCCAAACACATCCCGCCATCCCATCGCCTGAACCAAGGGATCGGTGGCGGCCAAGTGGGCAAAGAACTCCTCGAAGCCCCGGGGCGGTGGCGTTCGCTCCAAGTTGCTGTGAGCCAGCAGTTGGGGAGACCGTGGGCCGCGACCGGAGCGATCCTAAGCGAAACGTCGACGAAACGTGGGTGAAACAGAAGAGGATTGTGGTAGTTGAAAAAGGGTGAAAACACTGGTTGAATCATCGAAGGAAGTTTAGAAGTCAAACTTCCGACAATATGGACAGATGAAAAGCAGAGCAGGGAAGAGGCAGAGAGAAGAGAAAGATTAGAAGAAAGAAGAGTAGAAGAGAAAGAGTAAGAAAGAAGAAGACTATCGCCGACAAAACTCGCCGAGTTTTTGTGGATGATAACTACGAAAACGCTTCCGGGTGTGCAAAGCTGATTGTGACTATTGAGACCTCGTCAAAAGTCAACAAAATGGGCGATGATTTTTCAGTCAAAGATGTGGGTATTGCATACTTGAGGTATGATTCCAATTAGTATGTGGTTGGTAAACTGCTGTAATTGCTTCAGTATGAATAGCATAAACCTGGGCCACCAAACTTGGGCACTTGGGCACTTCTTTTGCAGGCTTGGAATGGGCAAAAAGCAATCACTCCCTTCCAGTGTATCAGAATGAACGTGTCATACAGCTGGGCTTTATTAGTGTGGTGTGGACTGATGGTTGATTCATAGCCATTCCCTCAGTGACTCGAAAAGCAAAAAGATTGCTGAACAGCCTCAGGATTCGCGCTGAACTTCACCCAAGACCCCAAGAAACTGCCGCTGCTCAGTTTCCATACACTGATGCCCAAATGTTAGAATATGTTAGATACATTAAACTGTAAGCCCTTTATGATGATCTCAAATATAACACTGCAATCCAATGGCTAAGGCCACCATCCAGGATCGCCCCAAGGTTAAGGATTTTTCGTGGTTATTTAAGGTGTTTTGCTCGGGTCGTTTTAGGGAAACGCGAATTGTTATTTATGGTCTATTTATGGTTTATTTGGGATGGGCTTAGTGTTTCTTTAGGCTCTATTTTGGGTTGGGTTACGAAATCGATTTTCTTGTGTTGTACGGTCTCTTCAGGGTTTTAGTTTTAGGCTCTGGACACTGCAAATTGCGGAGGATATGTTTAAGACATGGTTCCAAGGTGATTTTGGCACCGCCTTGGGTAAGTGCAAAAATGCAACGAGACACAGGCAATATCAAAAGTTTGCATGTTCGCAGATTGCAAACAAAACACACGCCAAAGTAAAATCGCAGTCACAAATGAAATTCCGGCGATTTCGGGCAAACGTCAGCCCCCTAAGCTGGTTCGAATTGGAAACGCCAGCGTTTTGGAACCCCTAGTGCGCTGGGGATTACCTACAGTACACCTGGGCTGGCGTCACACCACCATCACCCCACGCAAGATGACAAGCATGATTCCTACACAATCACTTTCACTTCCAAAATCTTCCAACTTTTCCCACTTCCAGGCGTCAATGATCTTGACAATCTCCTGCGCCTCGCTATCCTTACCTCTCTTGGCATAGTCATAAGCTGTGCAGCACCAGGTGTCTTGGATGGTGGGATTCGCACCGAAGAGCAACAGCTTCGCAACGATGTACAAATTCCTCTGCTTCACCGCCTCATGCAACGCAAAGGTCACGAAAAAGACCTAGGTAGGCGACCACCGTGGGGCAAATCAGCAATGGCAAAAACGTGAGGATAACTTTCACCATTAAAGTTGCCTGAAAAATTGGATATCCCAAACAAATCATAACAAATCCATGTAAAGCACATGCCGAACCATCACGAGGCACGGATTCTCCCGTGACTTGGGTGTGAATGACGCTACAGCTGTGGCTCACCTATGCTTACGGGTCCACAGATGTCCACAGCTTATCAGCATGATTTCCAATGACTGCCATCGAGGTGCAATCAATCAAACAAAAAACAAAGCCAATCCTCTGCAATCCCAAACCCCGAATCTGACACACCCCCTAGATGGTCCCAAATATGTGCAAATCCCTTATAAATCATGGTTTCTGGGGGGTGCTTAATGTGAACGGGTGATGGGATTACATGGCTATATGCATCAAAGTGTAAGACCTTTGAACCAGGCAGATTTTGGTGACGTTTAGCCAGAAACATGAAGCGCTTTTGGTGGCACCAATGGACACACGTGGCATCATCGAAAGGCTAGATGCTTCCCCCAAGAGTAATCATCATTTATGTTCCAACTGGCCAGCCATATTTCAATTTCCAATCGCTGTAATATACTTGGATCTATGAGTGGCTTGCATTATCAGGGTCGAAAAGGGATTTAACTAGCAAACATGGCGATAAGAAGCAGGAAACAACCAGAAGTTTGCCCTCTGGTACTGGATACTGGTTGCCCATACCAGATCATTGCGAAAAATTGGGTGGAGATCAAGCAAGAGAATCCTTCAAACATTCAGATCAAAACGCTTCAAAAAAGCTGGAGATCACCAGAAAGGTGAGATCACCATGATTTGATTTACCATCCCCCCAACTGACCCAACTGATAGCTCGACCCTGAAAATCATCCATCGACAAAAAGTAGCCTTCCACTCGCCACAGGGTCGAGCTGGATGGTAAAACATCTGGCCAAATTACTTTAATTCTTACCTCGTCTCCCTCGTGTCTTAGTTTGTTCCCCATGATTACTGTCCTCGTTCGTTAATTTGCAGGTGCAAATTAAGGCTTTACCTCGTTAATTCGAAGGAAGAAAGTAGCTTGTGGGCCTTCTTTCCAGGGTCCAACCCCAAGGAAAAAAAAACTTTTCAGCTTCCGAAAAGTTTTTTTCCACGATCCACGGTCTCTTGCAGGGATTTTTAAATCTGAGTCTGATCGGTCTTTGCGCTTCTTGCGCTTGGGTGGTGACATCTCTGACATTATCGCAGAGATGCAATGCTCTTCTGGAGCAACTCTGAATCCTACTGCTTCTGCAGCCGTCAACCCACGAAGCGGGCCTCTCGCGATAGAAAATAAAACTTTTTGGGGCCTGATTTTTTTTTTCCTTCCTTGCCTGCTGACCGGCCTCTGGCGATAGAAAATAAAACTTTTTGGGTCCTGAAAAGTTTTTTTTCCTTCCTTGCCTCCTGACCGACCTCTGGCGATAGAAAATAAACCTTTTTGGGGCCTGAAAAGTTTTTTTTCCTTCCTTGCCTGCTGACCGGCCTCTGGCGATAGAAAATAAAACTTTTTGTTTTAAGGCCTGAAAAGTTGTTTTGTCCTTCCTTGCCTGCTGACCGGCCTCTGGCGATAGAAAATAAAACTTTTTGGGGCCTGAAAAGTTTTTTTTCCTTCCTTGCCTGCTGACTGGCCTCTGGCGATAGAAAATAAAACTTTTTGGAGCCTGAAAAGTTTTTTTCCTTCCTTGCCTGCTGACCGGCCTCTGGCGATAGAAAATAAAACTTTTTTTTGGGGCCTGAAAAGTTGTTTTTCCTTCCTTGCCTGCTGACCGGCCTCCGGCGATAGAAAATAAAACTTTTTGGGGCCTGAAAAGTTTTTTTTTCTTTCCTTGCCTGCTGACCGGCCTCTGGCAATAGAAAATAAAACTTTTTGGGGCCTGAAAAGTTGTTTTGTCCTTCCTTGCCTGCTGACCGGCCTCTGGCGATAGAAAATAAAACTTTTTGGGGCCTGATTTTTTTTTTGCCTTCCTTGTCTGCTGACCGGCCTCTGGCGATAGAAAATAAAACTTTTTGGGGCCTGAAAAGTTTTTTTTCCTTCCTTGCCTGCTGACCGGCCTCTGGCGATAGAAAATAAAACTTTTTGGGGCCTGAAAAGTTTTTTTTTCCTTCCTTGCCTGCTGACCGGCCTCTGGCGATAGAAAATAAACTTTTTGGGGCCTGAAAAGTTTTTTTTCCTTCCTTGCCTGCTGACCGGCCTCTGGCGATAGAAAATAAAACTTTTTGGGGCCTGAAAAGTTTTTTTTCCTTCCTTGCCTGCTGACCGGCCTCTGGCGATAGAAAATAAAACTTTTTGGGGCCTGAAAAGTTTTTTTTCCTTCCTTGCCTGCTGACCGGCCTCTGGCGATAGAAAATAAAACTTTTTGGGGCCTGAAAAGTTGTTTTTCCTTCCTTGCCTGCTGACCGGCCTCTGGCCCCCAAAAAAGTTTTTCTAGCCAAGCCCAAGCATGCAACAGAACCAATGCAAGGCTACCTCGTCGAGGTCGGTTAATTCTGATGAGCAAATTAAGGGCTGACCTCGCTAATTCCTGCAACCTGCCTCGTTGCCTCGGCTGTCCTCGCTATAATTTGTGCAGAAACATGCTAAAACTATACAGAACTGGCCAACTTTCATGGCCATATTGCGGCCATAGGGGAAATCATGGGGAACCGAGGTGCTCCCTTCTTGCCATTGGCATCTGCTGGGAAACCATTGGAGGTCAGCCAGGAGGATACCACTTGGCGAGCCTCTGAGAGATCTTTCTGGTGCATGGCGACCTGGATCAAATCACCCAGGCAGACATGTAGAAACGTGGGAAGCCTGGGGGAAGCCTGGGGGAAGCCTGGAAATCCTCCTGGAAAACGAAAAAAAAAATGCTGAGAAGCATGCTCCCCAATCATGTTGCAAAAATTCACGACTAGTCCTGTTCTTCTTTGATTCAAGTACAAGTATGCGAACTATCCACAAGAAAATCCCGAACCTGAGTTGATGCCATGCGATCGAGTTTTGGCAAAGGCAAAAAGGGCTGATAACACTGCGCATTAGAACCCAAGGAACCAACACGGATCGACTGGTCATTGCTCAGCTCTTCCAGCAAGGGCTACTATTCATGGTTATGGTCAAACCCCACCCTGGTGAACACCAAAATAGCTGGCAAACATCCCTCAAAAGATGTTATTTCGTTGGCAACTTTTATCAATCCCCACATATACCAAGTCATTAGAGCCTTTCACGAGCCATGATCTTTTAGGCGGAAGAGCCACAGGGCTTCGTTAGATCTACACACCTTCCTTGCAAAACATTGTGCTACAAGCAGCATATCGGAACACATTCCTAGGGAATTGGCTCAAGTCTGCCTTCATTCACTTTTTGATGTCTCAAATTCCAGGTTTTACTCGCTGTTTTGATGCCTTGAATCCCCGATCCTGGCTCCGACCATCACGGCTAGCCGCGATCTTGTCCATTTTTCGCTGTGTTTCCATGGCGCCTCTCGACACAAGGGAATGGCCTCTGCCTCTAAAGTTGGAGAATCACCATGTTCAGGGAGTTATGGAGGTGAACATGGTGATTTTCCAGCTTGCCATGTTTGATTGCTTTCTTGACCAAGATTCTGGCTAAGACTAGAAAATAGGTCTTTTGGGTGACTTTACCTGTTGGGGCTGATGTCGGTCGTTAGCCCTAAAATCCTTCGCCAAACGTGGTGCCCTTAGCCGACAGAAATTAGGCCATGGGCATTTTTGGCATGTGTTCCAGGTTCTGGGTCCCCCCTCCCCCCACCCATGGTCATGGTATCCCCCCTTCCCCCGTCGTGTGGGTTGGGGTGGGAAGAGGGTTGCATATGCTGTATGGGGAATATAGAATGCTAATGAATCCAAGCAAGTGGTACACAGGTGCTATCTGATAGTATGCATGTAGTACATAGGTAGTGTCTATCTACTTGTAACCTTGTTGTATAGGTAGTATATAGGAAGTCTATAGGTAGAAAATATTTAGAGTACATAGCATTATAGGTAGCAAGTATATAGAATACGTAGGTACTATACATGTGTACAAATATATATATATACTGTATATATATCATAAAAATAAAAATAAAAACAATAATAAAACAATAATAATAATTAATAATAATAACAAAAACACATACATGTACATATCTATCTATCCTTAGTATGAGGTATCTAGGTAGTGTATGTGGTTGCCCCCTCCCCTTGTGGTCTGGGGGATGCGGGGATGAGGGGGTTGATGCAGCTTATCAATCGTAGATGACAAGGACACAGGTAGTATATGGTAGTATATAGGCGCGCTACGAGTGGTATATAGGTTGCATGCAGGCATGCAATGGGTAATCGAAGGAAGTTTAGAAGTCAAACTTCCGACAATATGGAGAGATGAAAAAGCAGTCAGCAGGGAGAAGAGTCAGAGGAGCAAAGATCAGAAGAAAGAAGATGCAGGTGCGCGAAAAGGTAGGAAAGTTGCGAATCACTGTGGTTTCCAATGATTTGTGGAAAAGTAGGCTCGCTAAAGCGGCGGGTGCGGAGACATCTGGGGAGATGAGAGATGAAAAGTTGCACGCCGTTGTGGCGCGAAGCCGATTTCGAAGTGAAAAGATACAAAACACCTCAGCGCCGGACCGCTTTTGGAAGTTGAGATGTTGAAAAAGTGCACGCCGTTGTGGCGCGAAGCACATTTCGAAGTCAAAATGTACAAAACACACCATGTACGGACCATTTTTGGAGGTTCAGATGTCGAAAAAGTGCACGCCGTTGTGGCGCGAAGCACATTTCGAAGTCAAAATGTACAAAACACACCATGTACGGACCATTTTTGGAGGTTCAGATGTCGAAAAAGTGCACGCCGTTGTGGCGCGAAGCACATTTCCAAGTCAAAATGTTAAAAACACTAGGGGTTCGGACCACTTTTGGAGGTTCAGATGTCGAAAAAGTGCACGCCGTTGTGGCGCGAAGCACATTTCGAAGTCAAAATGTTAAAAACACCAGTGGTTCGGACCACTTTTGGAGGTTCAGATGTCGCTTCGCTTCACTACACTACACTACGTTAGACTACACTACACTCCACTACACTACACTACATTACACTACACTACACTACACAACACACAACTACAACTACACAACTACACTCCACTACACTCCACTACACTCCACTACACTAAATTACACTACACTACACTACATTACACTACACTACACTCCACTATGCTACACTACATTACACTACACTACACTACCTTCCACTACACTTCACTACATTACACCACACTCCACTACACGACACTACAATTACAAATATAACTACAACTACACAACTACACTCCACTACACTCCACTACACTCCACTACACTCCACTACACTCCACTACACTCCACTAAACTAAATTACACTACACTGCACTGCATCACACTACACTGCACTCCACTACACTACACTACATTACACTACACTACACTACCTTCCACTACACTTCACTACATTACACTACACTCCACTACACTACAACTACAACTACGACTACACAACTACACTCCACTCCACTCCACTACACTAAATTACACTACACTACACTACACTCCACTACACTACATTACACTGAATGACGCTACACCACAGATAGACAGGTAGACAGATAGACAGATAGATAGATAGAGTGATAGATAGACAGATAGACAGATAGACAGATAGACAGATAGACAGGTGAAAGCGAGAGAGAGAGAGAGATAGATAGATAGATGCCTAATTAGATGAAAGAGAGAGAGAGAGAGATAGATCGATAGATAGATACATAGAAGATTGGCTGGTAGGTAGGTAGATAGTCAGAGAAAGAGAGGGAAAGAGAGGAGACCTCAAGCACCTTTCGGTCCATCACTGGCTTCGCTCTGCCATACCTGATTCACAACAACCAACTTCTCCTATAGATTTCCTATTTTTGAAACTTCCGCCACCGCCTTGTGCGGTACTTCTGGTATATGAATATAAAGTAAGATTGCATATGGGTAGTGTATAGATACGCTATTTGTCATATAAATATAAGTGGAGAAGAAATACATAGATGTAGATGTAGATAGGTAATATGTAGACAGCATGCAGATAGCACATAAGTAGTACCGAGGTATTTTGCAGGAAGCATACGGCTCTTAATGCTGCAAAATGCTGCAAATAGGTTGCAAGTGGAAGCTTGTGGCTCTGAAATGCTGCAAATAGCATGCAAATTGGAGGCCGTGACTCTGAAATGCTGCAATAGCATGCAAATGGGAGATTTGGGGGGGAATTGGGGTACCATACCATTGGGGGAAGGGGGGACTACCGAACCGGGAACCGGGCACATATGTGCGGTAATCAAATCTAATTGATATGAATAAACCATGGGCGTGATGTTGAAACGCATGACTGATCACTGGCCAGGCCCTGCGAATGATGCAGATGATGGGAAGGTTTGGAGGATATCACTACTCACACCGATGCGCAAGTTTGGATACTTCTATCCACTTCATGTAGATTTAAGACATGCTGGGATTAACCCCGTGGCTACATCCTGGAATGGACACCGCACTGAAGTATCGGCTGAAAGGTCTCAGAGTAGGCACAGTTTTGGACTGGCCCTACTTACAGTAGCACTATCCAGTGATCGTGACCGTCTGCGCGCACAGTGAGAACATTTGTTGGGCTACCAATTCCCCAACGCTGTCTCAATTCTGAAGGCGTATCTGGCTTGTCGAACTTGTGCAAGCTTGCGATATTTTGCGATGCCGTTTCTTGTGCAGCACCCCTTCTCGAAGCCTCCTTTGAGCGCTTTGCAGTGCGAATGTGCCTTGCTATGACTCGAACATACTCCTAGCATCACCTAGCCATGCCACTCTCGGATGGCTTTTGTAGCTGACAGTGGTACGGATCACCTCTACACCTTACCTGTGCACAGCGCACTTTGGTGTCACAGCGTGAGCGATGCAAGGGTACCCAGCGCTTTCAATAACCAGCATGAGAAACCACAAGGTATGTGTGTCTGAGTGAATCAAACGGGTACCAAGTTTTGGTATATCTGCCTAAGTCTAGGCTAAAATCATCAATTTTTGAAGGTCGAATCTGAGATAGTTGGCCTCCATTCGATCATACCCCAGTCTCAAGCAATCGAACCTGGCAAGTATTTTCCATGTGTTTCTGAATTTGGTCTAGTTTAACTATGATATCATATCCAGCATCCTGACCCTCCGCATGGAACCAACAAATCGCCCCAGGAATTCTGATCCAATATCACTTTCAGCAGTTCACGACATTTCAAGATTTGTTGGGCGGACTCCGCTGCCGACTAAGATCAACCCAATCCACAAGCGGTCCACAACCGACCCGAAGCCTGGCATTTCGTTTTTTTGCTGGCACATCCCGTGGCCACCGCTTTCTCCAAGGGTCTTCTACGTGTTGACCGAAATGGTCTGAGCCAAGGGCTGCGGGATCTCAGGTCGGATCAGACCTACCGTTTTGTCCGGTTCCACTGGTTTTTTCCAATTCGTATTGGGATTTGGCTTTCTGATTTAGCCATCAACATGAGGATTTCACACGTAAATACTGGGCAAAGTGAATGAAAACCTCAGCCCACAAGATAGAACCTGGATATCCAGTTCTTGCCTGTTCAAAATTTTCAAATATGATACTTGCCATCATCACCCTCATAGTTCCAGATACTGTAAAATGTCATGTCTAGTAACTAGTACATAATACATATATTCTACATATATTCCGGTGTCTGCTATGCCAAAACATGAACCAAGAATTACCAACATAGATGGTATGATCGTTATGAACCAATGGATTTTGGGGTATCCTTTTTTCAGACAAACTACGACCACAATCTGGAAGTTGTTTAAAAATAGGATCAAATGGTGCACCCCATCAATACCAGCGTATTTCGATTTTCACCAATATGTTGTTGGTCCAAAATGATTTCACCACCAGAAGGTTCCACCAAAGCCCACGGAGCCTTTTTGGCTCACTCTTCGTGAGCGAGTCATCCTGCCGTGACCAGCACCACGGTTTCATCAAATCCTAGCAATCCTAGTGTAATGTCCCCGCTTTGTCAAGTACGATGATGATCAGATTCACATAGCAGGCACCCAGTTCACCCTTCAGTTCCAACAATGACGATGACCCATGTTTCACTACATAAATTGCAAATCCCAAAGCTGATCTCAGGTGTTGTCACCAATGACGTGCAGATGTTTTCTTGGAAGAATCCACTATCCCAACCTTGGCCCCAACCAGTACTGCAAAAGACCCCGGTGAATCCCAGTGATCATTCTGTCGGGGAACTTTCGACACTAGCTGTGGGGAAGCAGGGGCCAACCAGCTGGCTTCATTTCAGATACAGTACAAGGTGGTAAAGCCATAGTGAATCATGTCCAATTCACCAGGTCGTGTATCATTTGGATCCATTCGGTGGTTTCTGCTCCTCCTTTATTGAGGGAAACCAATGGTGAGAAATCGCGCCTGGGCCTGAAAACGGCTCGGCATGGCGCTAGAGCGGCTGTGCTGCTTGGGAAACTGCCAAGAGAATTACCAAAAATATTGTAAAATTTCCAAAGTTTACCAATTTTTTCCTCGGATTACTGGTTTCGATGAACACTCGGGGTGTCTCTTCCTTCCGGTTTCTTTGGTGTCAGAGACCTCTTGACAGAGTACATGTGCTTTGGGGGTCACCTGTTTCTTGAACCAGGAGATATTTCATGACCTTTGCAGCTGCACCAAAATGTTTGAATAGGCATTTTACAGGGATTTGTTCCATTGCCTGGATTTTCAATGGCTGGGACAATAGCATTTCCAATGCGAAAATAATATTGGCAGTCATCGCAGTGGGATTGGAAATCAGGGTTGTTTCACTTCCATGCTTTTGTTCAAAGAGGGTAGCCGTTTCAAAATGTTGGGATTCCTCCCAAGATAGGTGTCGCATGTGCAAAGATGGTCGGAATTATCTCCCCAAAATGGACTCAAGATTGTCCTCATTTTGGAAGATCTTTCAGGCCCTCCATTCAGAAATCTTCAAGTTCTAAGGACTTTTTCTCTCCTTCGATGGCTGAACATCTCATTCCTCCAGGGTTGGATCTTCCTCATCTAACAGTGTGGTGGATGCGGTCGTGGACGTTGTCGACGTTGTAGACGTTGTGGATGTGGTGGTTGTGGTGCTCGGGAACATCGTTTCCAAGACCGGATCTGTCATCACCTCAGGGTGATGAAGTGGTGTCCCAAGCGCGTTGATTCCAACCTTGCCATCTGGGAAGTGTTCGATTGTTGATTCTGCAAGTAAACGAAATAATTAGGTCGCCATATCTTTAAATTCCGATCTACCGGGTTACCCCTATCTTTCTTGGTGCTGTCTCCACGTTCTTGGGCTAATACTGTATCTCCCGAAATGCCTCTTTTGCTAGTCCATGTCCTCTGGGATAGTGGATCAACTGCATCTATCGGTTGAATCCCCCTTTTTGGTAGTCAAACCCCCAGTGTTAGTTAAATCCAAAAGAATCAGTTTCAGTAAACATGTGTTCATGTTACTTTGAAAATACCTTATGGTTGGTCATTTCCCATGATTGTTCTTGGCTGAATCCCTGTTGATAAATTATCTAAATATTTAGTTGTCTGAATATGGTGATAAACCCTGGTCTGACTGTGAGACACCAACACCGCCATTTAGAGAT